TTTTTTTTTTTTTTTTTTTTTTTTTTTTTTTTTTTTTTTTTGGGTTCGCAGTTCCGCTCAGATCAGGTGAGAAAGAAGGCGTCACTAAAACCTTGTAAACCCACCTGTCAGGGAGTTTATATGGAGGAGACAATGTTCCCAGAGCTTTATTTCTTTTAAACCATCTACAAATGGAGTCATTGCCTTCTTCTTGTATATTTGACTGTATTGGCTGTGCTGCAAATGTTCACATCACTTCCTAAAAGGCCACTTATTATCTATAACAGGGGAAAAAAGTCATTTAGGTTTGATGCTCTTTCGACCTGAAATCAACTCTAGTCAAGTCTAAAAATGAACGAGTTGCTTTTATTTATTTTTATTTAATTAAAATTATTTTAAAAAAGTGTTTATCTGATATGGATCATATTTTAATTGTACACAGTTGGACCCCATTTTTAGGAAGTGGTTTGTCACCTGAATGTGGGCCAGGACTAGCACTGAAGGCACTGTTTTGAAGATGGCATATGCCACAACGGGCCTGGTTGTGGTTTGATTTATCTGGCCCAAATCTGTCAATGCCACAACTGGCCCATTTGTGGTTTTGTTTATGTGGTGCCTGGTCATGCGTGGACCACCTCTGGCAAAACCACGTCCGGGCCACCAAAGGGCTGCCATTCTTGCATTATCTGAGTGTTAGTGCATTGTGTGGACCAGACAGAGTTGTAAAGTAAGTACAAGTACTTTGTTACTGTACTTAAGTAGAATTTTTGGGTATCTGTACTTTACTTCAGTAATTATTTTTCAGCCTACTTTTTACTTTCTACTTCTTACATTTTCACACAATTATCTGTACTTTCTACTCCTTACAATTTAAAAAAGGCAAGAAGTAGAAAGTCATTACTTTTATTTTTGCTTGTTTTCATTCCAACCTGTTATTATAAAAAATAAATTTGATCTATATAAACTGTGCCTCCTAGATAGAGTGAATTTAATTGTGTTTGAATGAGAAGTATAAATATATATAATTTTGATACCGTATTAGTTTGTACACAAANAATCGGATCCGGGACGGATGATGTGCGGAATGAACGGATCCGGATAGGGTCTGGGCCACATCTGATCCAGACACGTTATCATCATCTGTTCCGGACCCGTTCCGCTGTGCAAGTGGACTCCGATCTGGGTCCATTTTGCGGACTCAATCCAAACCCTATGATACCTCCAGATCGGATCCGGTCTGGAGTCTGTTTGCTATCTGGGTGCAATCTGTCAAAATGAAGGACGGATTTCTTCAGATTTTTCTGTCATTGTGTAAAAAAATGGTCAAATACAGAAAATATTCCATCAGTGGTGGGCAGCACTAATCTAAATATTAGTTGCACTAACCCTAAAGCACTAAATCAATTATTTACGTCCCCTAATTCTAAAGCACTAATATAACCCAGTTGACACATGGAACATTCTTCAAAGTCAGTATGAGACAATATTTAATGTGTGCAGAATGTTGTCACTTAGTGCTCTTGGTGGGCCAAATGGGAGTCACCTGTAGGCCACATTTGGCCCGTGGGCCTTGAAGTTTGACACATGACCTTGTAGATAAGTGACACACATATGAACAAAATGTGACAGCTTTCACCCCCAACTGTGAACAATAATGTTGATCAATAACATTTAAAGACCTCAGTTAGTGCTTCTAAATTTAGCCCATAAATTTAGCAAGTGCTAATCCACTAAAGAACTTAAAAAATAGCAAAATCCCTAAAGCACTAATCAAGAAATTAGTTCCCCTATTAGTGCTAATTAGGGGAACTGTGCCCACCACTGTATTCCGTTAACATGACCTCTAAGCTGGAGAAAGGAGTACAATTTAAAAAAAACCTGGCTGTATAAAAATTAAGTTTTAAGCAGTTGTATTGTTAACGCTTTTGTCATTGTACAGATATGTGTTAATATATATGTTAATAATATATTATTCTTGTCAGAAATCAAACAAACTGGTTTAGAGAAAATTCTCAAATACTCAAAAATTCTACTTAATTACAGTAAAGAAGTATGTGTACTTTACTTGAGTAATTATTTTTCAGCCGAATTTTTACTTCTACTTCTTACATTTTCACACAGTTATCTGTACTTTCTCCTCACGACATTTTTAAAAAAAGGCACAAAGTAGAAAGCTGTTAATTTTATTTCAATTTTGCTTGTTTTCATTCCAGCTTTTTATTGTAAAAAAAATAAATACTATCTATATAAACTGTGCCTCCTAGATAG